CATAATGTCAGCTGGATGGATTACAGTTCAAAAACATCTATCTATAAGTGATAGGGTGCATCCACAACAATACTAAACTGAATATTGATCAGATATATTAAAAGAAATACTAATGGGGGAACTTTGTGAATATTAATATTATGGATTCCACATCAGGCCAGGATAGCAGGTGTAGCTAGAACACTGTTTCTATTTTTTACACTAGAGCTTTAGCTCTCATTATCATTTTTATTATTGTTCCTTTGGGTTCCTAGTGTGGAACATAGGGCTTCAACTGTGCACGTCTACACTTGCCACTTCTGTCTTGCTTCTGCTGTACTTTTCACCTGCATCCATGTTAATACATACTGTTTCAACCAACTCCTCTTCACACGATCTCCTTCTCCATGTCACTCTTGCACCTTTGGACGTCCCACTCGCCGCTTCCCATTCTGTCGGGTTCCATTCGAGCAATGGCCTGACGCGTGAGCGCGATGTCACCCAACGGCGGCCTCCTCAGCCACGAGTGTCCAATCCATCTCAATCCACTTTCTCCTGCATATTTGTTTTGTTTGTTTGTTCCCATAGTTTCTTGTTGGTGATTCTTTCCAGCCCGGCCATCTGATTGATCTTCAGTATAGATCCAGCGAAGACAGTTGTTGGTTGATAAAGTTCTGCAACAGGCTGTTGGTGGAAGCATTCTTTGTGACCCGCCCGCCAAGTTTCTGATCCGTTCCGTATAGAAGAACTGACTGACTTGAATTTGTTTGTATTGAAAATCCGACTGAATTTGTTTGTTGCTGGTGAGTTGAGTGACGAAGATTTAGAGATTGATTTCAGGTTGGTTGATGAATGTGTTTCTCGCTCGCCTTCCTGATTCTCGCCTAGATTACTAGCTCGCCAGTTTTTTAGCCGGTCCCAAGGCCCGGATAAAGAGGGAGGGTTGGGGCATGGTGCTAGCAACTGCACCTCCAAAACTTAAGCAAATTGCTACAGAATCTTCAATGCATAAATATATTAAAAACTTCAACGCTTTGGCTCTACTTGATGTATAATGAGGGTATAGATGTGTGTAGGTCAGATGGATGATTTGGGTGTTGTGGCGGTCTCTGAGCTGGTTGGTTTATAGCTGAGAAGCTTTTTATTGCCTTCATTGCTCTCCACATCATTGCTTCAGTGCATACTTCAATTTGAAGTGACCTTTTAGACTTCTTCAGGTATTTATTGCTCATCCCTCCTGGTAACCGTGAATGACACCCTCTAGTCTACTTGTATATTTTCTATTCCTTTACGTTCCAGGTGGAACATTGGGGGCTTCAAGCTAAAGGCTTGAAGTTCCAGTAGCAGTGGTGTATCCACTCCTTGTGACTTATGATTTCCAATGAAACTGTTTTGTTCTTCGTTATTACTATTCATTTGTCTCATATCCTTGTCTACTGTCTCCATTGTGCATTTCCATTTACTTTCTTCTCTTGATTTGTGTGCTACAAGAAGGAGGGGGTGTGGCGACTTGAAGTGCCGCACTTCGGTGCAAAGTTCTATGTCGAAAACAGACAGACAGCAATTTTAGGCTATAGGCTTGAAGTTTCTGTAGCCTGATGTCCAACCTTTCTTCTTAACTAGCTTTATTTCTGGTCTTGCGAGGTAAAGGTGTGCGTCAGTGGCCGGGGATTGAACCCCGGATCATATGCGCATGGTCGGCGAGCATCCTAACCGCTGTTCCACCGACGCACTCTGGCCTTCTGTGAAATCTATAAATTCATCAACTCTGTATAATTTTTTTCTCAATTATTATCACTCACAGATGATTTCGCACTGTAATCCATTGGTGTAGTTGATTCAATGTTATTTTAAATCTGTATTACTGTTGTCAATCAGAATAATCCTTTAATCTTTTATGTAAATGTAGCTATAGAACCATCTGATGAAGGAAAGATTATCAAAAAGAAGAGTATTCTTTGCTCAATATGTTAGCCGTGTAGTACAGAATTCTTAGGATAATCAAGTTTTAAAACTATTGATTATTCGTACATGATCTTGAAATATGAATAGTATTTAACAGGATATTATATATGACACTATGTTCTTCCCCGTTCTAACATTGTGTTGAAGGTTAATTAAAAAAAAAATATTCGCGAGTTCATGTTAGTGATCTGAGGACACACTTATTGTTATTATTATTATTTCATTTTCTGTTTTATTCCTGTGAGCTCACAGTGACGGACTGGTTTCAACGTAGAGATAATAATTTATTTAATTAAATGCACAAAAACTTGGTACAATATGGCACCAAGAAGGATGCGCCACACAATAATAATAAAACAACATAGATCAAAAGAAAAAAAAGAAGAGAAAAAAAAGATATACATAAGTAGAGAACGGATAAGGAACTTCATCTGGAAGGAAGACAGTCATGTTTAACAAGTCCAAACAGTATTCGTTAACTATCATCGGAAAAGGAAGAAAGAAGGAAATGGCAACACGTGTAATAGCACGCGATAAGTTTCATTGACTGTTTGTTGCTTCATTCAATTCATTGTGTGAGGGCTGAGATACTGCCCGGGCACCCAGACCGAAGCAGGTGGTTTTATTAAGGGACCACCCCCGAGCCTTTGACTTGAAGTCTAATCCGCAAGGCAGCGGAGCAGCGTCAGGAGCTGCATTCCCATATGGGTTCATACGCCATTTGATCCGATTGGATACTGGAGTCCATGTACCCCATGGTAACTGCTTTTAGTTCAACCGCTATCCAAACAACCTTCCTGACATGGTAAGACCTGCAGGGACAGAGTCCCAGTCAGTTTAGCATGTTGGGTCATTGCGGTATTGAAGCCCGACCACCACGACAAGGTAGCAGTTGTCGGTAAAAAGAATAGTAATATGGCAAAAATAATATAGTTTTATTAGATATTATAAATAACAAAGAGTGAATGAATCGTCACCAGCTTTTGAGAACGATTTTAAGCCAACGATATCACCAATTTTCTCCAGCTTTCATTGGTGGAACAAAGAACTTCAAGTTGGAGCTTTGAAGTTTCAGTAGCGCTGGCTTTTTTTTTCAACGGGGTAGGGTTGCTAGCCTCATGCTTAGTGAGGTAAAGGAGTGCGTTAACTGGGGATCGAACCACAGACCGCATGCATACCTGGGAAGCATACTGCCGCTGATTCACTGAAGTACACGGCGACATACTTGGTTGATGATATGGAATTCATACAGGTATATGTTGGATGGAAATTTTCTTAACCTTACTGATTTAGCAAGCTATCACTACACATTCTCAGGATATGTGCTTTATTCTAAATCTACTATCTATTGTGATGCTTTTTTTTTAAAAGATACATGCATTTACGCACATATTCATCTATATTTTAATGATAAAATCACATTGTCTTAGTCAAATATGCTACTTTCTTCTCCACTCACTTGAATCCTCTCGCTCTCTCCTTCTCTCTCTCTCTCTCTCACTCTCACACGCACACTGAGCTTACCACATGTTTATTTGTTTCTTTTATGGTAATTTATCTTCATTTATATACGCAATAGTGTGTAGGGTGAAACGATGTATGTGAGTATGTTTCTGCACATGCAATTCATGTTTGATATTATAATAATTTTCAAGTATTGGTTTTGTAGGGATTTTGTTTGATTGCCTGGAGGATTTCATCATGTAGCTCTGATGTTAGTTAGAGAACCATTAGAAAACTTGTCAGGGAGTACTGGACAGCTAGCTAGTTGGTTTGTCGGCCTGGTTTGCAACTCCTCAACAGTACGCACCCACCACAGTGACTTGTGATTCCCAATGAAACTGTTTTGTTCGTCGTTACTACTATTCGTTTGTTTCACACCTCTGTTTACTGTCTCTGTTATGCATTTCTTCTACTTTCTTCTCTTGCTTTGTGTGCTACAAGGAGGAAGTGTGGCGACTTGAACTTCCGCACATTGGGGCAAAGTTCTATGTCGAAAACAGACAGACAGACAGACGTACCCACCACAGGGGGTGGGAACTCAGGACCTTCTGGCAACAGGGCGGGCACGTAGACCATTAATCCATTGGAATCCGATTCAATGGCTAGCCCATGAATTAAAACTTCTGCCAATTCATGATATAACGAGACGGCTAGCTAATGTCTTTGGTGGCGAGTATTTGTCCTCACACCCGACCTGCTGTATCCTACTGGTCACGGCTTCTCACTAGAACCCCATTTAATTACCTACCTGAATACGGTCAGTCACTAGTCAGCATCCTATTCATTTTCAAGTATTTTGTTTGTAGGGATTTGATGGATTGGCTACAGGATTTCATCATGAGCTGACATTGGTTGAACTAAACAGCTGTCCAGTACTCCCTGGCAGGTTTTCCAATGCTTCTCTAACCAATATCAGCTCATGATAAAATCCTGTAACATATCGATGAAATGCCGAGTGAGCTATTTCGATATTCCTTAACTCAATAGTGCGGAAGAGATCTCCTGTTAACCAGGCTAACAGTCGCACTAATCATGTTATAGTTGATAATCCTTATCGGATTACTGAGATCAGCAACAAAGATCTCTGGGAGCGAACCAACCCATCAGGAACCGATTGTGCAACAAATAGGCAGGAAGAAATGGAGGTGGATTGGCTTGTCATATACTGAGGAAACCATCAAGTGACATCACTAGACAAGCCATCACTGGAGTGGAACCCGAAAGGGAAGCGGCGAGTCGGTCGTCAGTGCAAGGGTGACTTAGAAGAGGTCATGTGAAGAGGAGATGAAAGCATGTGGGCATACTTGGAGTAGGGTGAAAAAGTTGGCCGAAGAACGAAGGCAATGGAGACTTGGGCAGCTAAAGCCCTATGTTCCTCTAGGAATTAAAGGACATAATAATAATAATCGAGTTACTGAGATTAAAGTAGGGAATTTTTTACCCCGAACCTTTTGACTGGTAGTAAAATATTCCACAAAATATACAGATGCAATTATTGAAATAATTTTGCTAATGGATATTTTTTTCTTTTCTCTTTTTTTTGCTCTACCCAGAGAATTAATGTCATTATTGAGACAATTGAAATTTGCGCAAAAATTTGCTTGGTTATCAGGGTAAGCCTACTTTGTTGTATGCTTTTAATTTCTAGTGTTTTTTGTGTCTATACGTTTTCCATTGTATTATTGTTATCACTTACAAATGGTGCCCCTACTTCCAACAAGCTTTCATTTCCCCCCTTAGGATCATCTGCTCTCCTTGTTAGATTTGGACACCTCACTTGTTGCATTCCATTCAGATTGCACTCGACAGCCTAGGGACTGAACCTTTTCTGTCATCTGATGGTGATGAATAGTTGTTAGCTGGTACAATTAATTGAAGTGAAATAGTATATATATTTAGCTTTGTCGGCCTGGTTTGCGACTGCTCAGAAGTACGCACCCACCACTAGGGTTCGAGCTCAGGACCGTCTGGCTACAAGGCGAACCCACAGACCATTAATCCACTAGAACCTGATCCAGTAGCTAGCCCATGAATTACAACTTCTGCCAATTCATGATATAGCGAGATCGCTAACGAATGTCTTCGGCGAGTATTTGTCCTCACACCCGACCTGCTGCACCCGAATGGTCACGACTTTCCTTGTCTTGTAGTTCCACTGGTGAAGAACATCGAAATAGTATTCCAGTGGTGTGTGTGTTTCCCGTTCTGTTGTGACCCACATTCCAATTTCACTTTCAGTAATCACCTATTCTTTCTTCTAAACGGATCAGAAGCTTGGCGGGTCGGTCACAAAGAATATTTCCAACAGCAGCCTGTTGCAGACCTTCATCAACCAACAACTGTCTTCGCTGGATCTATACTGAAGATCAATCAGATGGCCGGACCGGAAAGGATCAACAACAAGAAACTATGCGAACAAACAAACAAAACAAGAACCAATCGCCAACCAACAAATATGCAGGAGAAACTGGATTGAGATGGATTGGACACTCGTGGCTGAGGAGGCCACCGTTGGGTGACATCGCGCCCACGCGTCAGGCCATTGCTCGAATGGAACCCGACAGAATGGGAAGCGGCGAGTGGGACGTCCAAAGGTGCAAGGGTGACATGGAGAAGGAGATCGTGTGAAGAGGAGTTGGTTGAAACAGTCAGTATGGACTAACATGGATGCAGGTGAAAAGTACATCAGAAGGAAGACAGAAGTGGCGAGTGGAGACGTGCACAGTTGAAGGCTTATTTTCCACACTAGGAACCCAAGGGAACAATAATATTAATAAACACCTTTTAGCTACGTCGATCTAGGACTATTCGAAATGATCTTTCATCATCAAGTCGACTTGGTGTCTTGAAAATTATTATTATAACTTTGTCATGACAGGACAAATAGACTGAAATTCTTTGACCACTACTCAGTTGTAGGAGTTCGAATCACTTTGTGTTAGATGACATGAAATAATTTTTGCAATTTTACTTCTCACTTCACGCTAAATTTCCGTGGAACTCTGTTAGTTCGGATCTTGATCAAGAGTTTGTACATAAAAAACTATAACAATAGTCTGACAGAAGAGTATCACTCATTCTCAATATTGCCTGACTTCATACAGTGGAGAAAATGCGTAGCTTAGGTGAATGATTTTGTGTTTGTATTAGAACGAAGAGAACACAAAGCTCAGCATTACAGCCGGCAATCGAAGATTGTTGACTTAAATTGTAGTAATTCTGCGTGGGAAACTGGAGTAATATGATGAGTAGTTTGGCTTATGAGATTTTCGAATTGATGAATATACGTATGAAGTTTGTTGCTGTTAAGATTAACGTCACAGAATTTTAGTCCAAGAGATAGAGCCTCTAGTTGTACCGTTGATAACGCGACTGAAGAGTGATTGAAGACAAATTTTTTAGGATCGCTGTGGAATTTATTCTGAACTTCCACGGACTTCAAGCTTTTGTTTAGATCTGATTTAACATATTCCGCTCTTCTGGTCTGCACCAGAGTAACGTATTCATCTAACGATTGTCTCTCACATGATGATAATTCACAAAGAGCGGAAGATCTCTGTGATATGTTTCTTTGTAATTCAAATATATGTGAACTTATAGAATCGATGACGTTTCTAGTGTGACGTTGAAGAGTTTTTGAATTAGGATATGTATGATGTCTGCGCGCCGATTTCCAGAAACATTTTGGATATTCACTATTGGTTAATACGGCTCTCGAAATATTCCAATTTCGCATTTACTTCTGTCTGTTTTCGACACAGAACACCAGTTCAAGTTGCAACACTTCCTCCTTGTAGAACACAAATCAAGAGAAGAGATTAGAAGAAATGCATATTAGAGACAGTAAACAGAGGTGTGAGACAAACGAATAGTAGTAACGAAGAATAGTATAGTTCCATTGGAAATTATTACAAATCACAAGGAGTGGATGCATCTTCACTAGCCATTGAGAACGATGAGTTTGAGCCATATCACCAATTGTTTCAAAACATTGGTTCCTACCGTCCTGAGGACCCCAACCAGGAAGCAAGTCTACACCTTCTTACGTGGCTTAGACTAACTGTTGTAGATTTCATTGACTGATGACATGTTTTGGTTTGACCGCCGTTAACTCTTTTCCAGCTTGATCCTATATCAGCTAACATTGCCTGTCGGTCGAGGAAGGCGATGACTAGACATACGTAATACATGTCCTAACCATCTCAGTCTATGTAACTTTACAACCTCGTCGATTGATTTCCCCTCCATATCTAGAACTCGACGCCTAACCTCAATATTGCTCACCTTATTATACCACTTAACACACACGTGAGATAGAACAGAGGTACCTATGATCAAAGACAACTAATCTTTTCATGTCTGCCACTCTCAATGGCCGGGTCTCACAGTCATAAAGCAGAACGGAGCTGACTGATGAACAGAACACTCGCCCTTTGGTCGATAGTCGGATATCTCGTCTACACCAGAGACGGTGTAAACTTGTATATGCGAAACTAGCCCTCTGTATCCGTGATGAGATTTCGTCAGAGATCAACCAGTTGGTGCTGTCTGTGATGGTACTTCCCAAGTAAGTGAAACGGTCAACGTGCTCTACCACTTCACTTCCTATTTCTAATCTAGGAGTCGGTGTAGTCCAGTCCTTTAACATCATCTTGCATTTAACAGCAGCAGCGAATCGCATTCCAAACCTTCGTAGATTGCAGCTCAAGGTGTTTTGAAGACTGCTTTATTTTGTCAGCGTCCTCGCCTAGTTGAGAAGGACTATATCGTCTGCATATTCTAAATCAACGAGATTATTCCCTGGTAGCAAGTCACTCCCTGAGTCGCTGAAGTGAGTTAGGGTTAAGTCTATAAGTTGATGATAATGAAGTTGAATAGAAATGGGGATGATGGGCATCCTTGACGGACACCACTAGTTGTCACCACTTCACATGAGAACTTGCCGTAAACACTCACCTGGCTGCATGAGTTCGAGTAGAGTGAGTGCCTTAATCAGTGAAATGTATTTGCATTTACTTCGGAAAGTTTGAGAAAGTAACGTAGAAACCCATTGAGTTCCTTCACTGTCGAATAGTCCTTGCTCTTTTTCAGATAATGGAAAACACCTATATGGACATTAGATAGAAGTTTGTAGTTGTGTTTCCTGATGTGAATGTTTTAATTACGAAGGTTTCATTGTCTCACTGGACAGCATCTTCAGAGCTGACTTCGACTCGAAGTAACTAACCTTTTATAAGTTTTCTCTCCTGGTAACCTTGAGAACAATTGGTTATGGTTTTTTAAATTATTTTCTCACCATGTCCATTTGTATTGATTGGTATTGATTGTTTTGTTGACCTTTTATTCACGTTGCAACCACAGAAGACAAGGGCCAGGCATTATATCGTTTATTGAGAAAATCAAGGGCTATTCATAGATTTTTGTGTACATTACAATTGGTGGATGGTGGCTAGCAGTGGAATCCAGGATGCGCATTTCGTCCTATTTGGGACTCGTCATCTGGATGTACCTGCATTTCTCAGTGAGTGATGATGTTCCCACCGAGGCTCGAACCCAGTACCCATAGTTTCAAACGCCAAAGCGTTATCCACTAGACCACTTGGGCCACGAGAGCCACCTCTTGTGCAACGGGTCATATTAATTATTGAATTGAATTTTTGATTTTCCCGTCGATTGATTGGACCGAAGTGCTCGGTCTCAGGTTGACATGTCGGCTTCTTGTGCAGATGCTTCGACGATGTCTGGGTATTTAATTAGTATACAAGACCCAGCACTTCGGTCCAATCAATCGACGGGAAAATCAAAAATTCAATTCAATTTTGTGTACATTATTGTCAGCGGAGGAGCAACTTCTTCTGATTGGTTATTATCTTGTTGAGGGTTGTTCTGTACTGCCTGTCAGGGTTTCCTAGAAAGTTAAGCCATATATCTGCGCATCGATTGGCACACGTTAGGTTTGCAGTGATTGGTTGATGACTTCCTCAAGGTTAAGCTTTGTAGTTAATTTTTTTTTCTCATGACTTCCGATTCGGGACGTGAACATTGGCGTAAGCTGCTGTCTACAATTTCGGCTTGCAAACAGATCTCACCACCACGTGACTTCCTTTTTCACTAAATCTTATACCAATGTGTCTGTTGATTACCGATTCATTTGGATACCAGTCTACTAGAAATTCTCTGACAAGTTGTTGGTTGGTGTTTCCTGTGCCTAAGATTTGTACATTAATCCCAACCAACTAAGTGTCCATTGGGTTGGGTCTGCATATATTGCATGGATATTGTGTCTTTGAAGATGTCGCCTTTTAAGACAATGGAAGTTTCGCAGCTAAAATATCCAACTCAGAGAATAACACAACTACACCAAAATTACTTCATAGTGTTCTTAATCACTAGTGTAAAAAATTAACCATTGCTGCGAACTTTTTGAATTTGTTTTGGATAACTAGAAGAAGTCGACAGAAAGCCTTTCACCTAAGTCATATGTTTAGTGGACTGGTAGACTTACAGATAGACTATTAATGACGCCATGTTTTCGTTTGACCCACCACTAGCTAACTCTTTTCCCACCTGATCCTAAATCCATTGACATTGTCCATTGTCGAGGAAATCGATGACTAGGGATGCATACGTAACACTTGTCGTAACCATCTCAGTTGATGTAGCTTCCCAGTTTCGTCGATTGATTTCCACTCCCATCTACCTAGCGCTCGACTGAGGTCTAACCTCAGTATTCTTCACTTTATTGTATCATTTTACACGAGAGATAGAACGGAGGCACGTATGATCAAAGATAATTAGGTGGCATCTTCACGTGTTCCACTCTCATTGGCTAGGTCTTACAGGAAGCCATAAAGGAAGATGGAGCGGACTACTGGGCTGAGCAGTACACACTTCCTTTGTTCGATAGCCAGCCGGATATAACGTCTACGCCAGAGACGGGTAAACTGACATATGCGAATCTAGCCCTGTGTATCCGTGATGAGATTTCGTCAGCGATCAACTTGTTGGCACTGGCTGATTCAACTTCCTAAATATAAGTGAAGCGGTCTAGACTAGACAAATAAATGATGTAGGTTAAAATCTTCTAAAGGTGATAAATCAGTTCCCTCAGGGGGGTTACAGACCGGCCTTACTCTGTAACGAATGCCAATCCCAGGTAGGTTCAGGATTTCCTATCGATTGTTGACAACCATTTCAGATGATTATTTATGTATATAATCGCTTGGCTTTCTTTATTTGTTTTTGTATTTTAGAGCGTCTGTATTACCGACAACATTGGCTGCATTGACTGGTAGTCAGCCAACTAAACTGAACGGCAATGGTAATCATGACAGTGAGAATTATGCCGCTAATAATGGAGTTAGTGTTGGTGCTGTTGGTGGAACAGTTATGAGAAGGACCCAGCCTGATGCTGACGATGATAAACAAAATACCGCAACTCTTAACAATAATAATACTACTAATAAAAATACGGTCACTGCTAGTCCTGATCTGTCTAAAAATGGTGATGTTGACGTAGCGATACCAGTTGAAGTCGTCCATCATCATTCTACTACTGATGATGATGTTGTCAATGGAAAATCAATTAAATCGATTGACTCTACACGAAATAAACAGGTTAATAATGAAATTACATTACACAATGGAAGTAATACTAATGATAATAATTTGATTATAAATGGACAAAATGGATTACAAAGTTTACATGTTAATGGAAGCAAAGATGTTGACGAAATTGTTGACAAATCTATAAAGAATGGAAGGCCAGTAGTAGTCAGTTGTCCAACGGAAGAAGAAGAGAATGGAGAAGAAAGTACTACTCTTAATGGACATGTGAGTTTCTCTCTTTCCTGTTGTTATTATATACTTCTTGATTGTATCCTGTTTTTAGTTTCGTTTTATAACTTATCAGCTAGATGTACTTGCTGCCCTCCCTCCCTTACCATTTCAGCTGGGGCGGGGGGGGGATATTGTATTCCCCAGTCAGACTCAAACCCACTACATATTGTTTCAAACGCCAACACTTCATTCATCGAGGCATCCGTTCATGAAGCCGCTTAATAAGGCAGACAGTTAGTACATTATAGGCACCATTAGGTGCGCTACATAATGATCATAGTGTGTGTGTGTGTGCTACGGCTGGGTTACTCCCTGGAAGCCCAGACTGAATCAGGTGGGACCATCACCCGAAACTTTGACTTGATGTGTCTGATCCACCACCGTTTATGGTTCCCAGTGACCAAAAAATGGGTTCATATACCATTCGATTTTTTTTGGATTTTGAAGCCCATGCATACCGTAGGTTTGCGATGAAGGTCTTTCAGCCCCTTGCGTGTTCTACTAGTCGTCCTGTTGTAAACGCCAGACGTTCGAATTTGTCAATTCATTATTAGAAAGAAGAAAACACGAAGTTCAGCAAAGATGGCGATCTTTTCGGCGATTTCATTTTCTAAAGTTTGATTCCACATAATTACGACGATGGATAAAAGGTGATAATTATTTTCAACTAGATATGGTTTTTACGAGAGGCTTAGAAACAAAATTACACAGAATTAGAACGGACACACTCGTTATTCGTTCTAATTCTGTGTAATTTTGTTTCTAAGCCTCTCGTAAAAACCATATCTAGTTGAAAATAATTATCACCTTTTATTTGTCGTCGTAATTATGTGGAATTAAACAAGAATTGTATCCATTTTAAAATTACGTATTTAAATGTGATTATGCAGCTGCTTTTGAAAATGAAATGACCGAAAAGATTGCCATCTTTCCTGAACTTCGTGTTCTCTTCTTTACGTGGCCAGAGGCTATGAATGCATGACTACAGATGAGGATTTCAATTGAAAGACTGGAGTTTACCCACCCTCAGCCATACCGGGTCGTTCATGGGGCATATATGCATATGTAGTTTTCATTTAGGCCAAAATTTATTTGTGATTTAATTGTGTTCATTTTTGAAAACCAAAGTCCACCACTAGTAAAAATAGAAGAAAGAAATTGATAAATACATATAGTGTGCGATTATTCCCTACAATTCTTACTATCATCAGTTTTTATTATTTTCAATAAACAGATTTTGTCGCCAAAATTACTATGCGAAGTGTAATGATACTACGTTACGTGACCTTCCAGTCTTAGTTAGGTGAGGCTGGATATTTGCTCTATACCCTCTAATTTTCGTTCACAGCTTTAACAGAACTATATTTTTTTACAATTTGCTCTCACTCATGACATCTTTTGTAGATACAGCTCTGTGTAAAAACTGACTGACTGACTGGCTATCTTTTGTTTTTCGGATTGAAATCCATTTCAACTCATCAGTGAATCTTAGCGGTTTTTTAAAGGTTATTTCAAGTATTCTGATTGCTGTTTTTCAGTCGGCTTGCCTTCTTGTCTGTTTTATTGCATATCTGTGGTATTGTTGTCATTAACATTGTAATTAGAAACTAGAACAGCTTTTCTAGCGTATTGTAAGATTCATAGTCATATCTCAGTGGTTGAAACTCTCACTCTACAGTTCGAAGTATATTTTCTATAGTTTGGTTTGTAAGGGTTAGTTTTGTTTTTACGAGTTGATCACGGATTGATATCGGCTAGAGAACTATTAAAAATCACCGGGAGTATTGGACAACTGTTTAATCCTGGTTTGAGAATCATCGGCAGTACGCACCCACCCCGCAGGGGTGGAACCCAGGACCTTCCGGTTACAAGACAAGCTCGTATACCATTCACCTATTGGGAGCCGATTCAATGGTTCATGAATTCTAACTTCTACCAATTCGTGATTTAGCGCGACTCCAACCATTGTCGTAAGTGAGACATCCATGCACACACATGACATCTGGATGGACCTCACTGGTCACAACTTCTCACTAGAACTGAGTGCAGGAAACTCCATCCTGTAGCAAATCACTGGGAGCATCAGATTAATTTTCTATAGTTTGGTTTGTAATGGTTAGTTTTCTTTTTTACGAGTTGATCACGGATCCCAGTGGCTGAATGGTATACCAGCTAGCTTGCCTTGTAACCAAAAGGTTTTTGGCTCGAACCTTGGTAGTGGATCCGTACTGCCGTTGATTCCTAAACTAGGCTGATGAAACAGCAGCTGTTCAGTACTCCCTGTGGCTGGTTTTCAATGGTTCTCTAACTGATATCAATCCGTGATCAACTTGAAGTATATTGTCCATTCCAGTGATGCGTCGGCGTAGTGTAGAACATACGGCAGCAAACTGATAGATATGAAAGTATTGAATTTCACCTTCATTATTGATTATAAATTCACGAGCTGTTGGATCATTTTCAGTGGCTATAGCGGTCTACAACCTCGCCTTGTAACTGACTGACAGTTTGTCGGTCTGAACCCGATTAATTGTGTGCCATTGAAGAGTCTCAAACTAGGACGAAACAGATGTCCATTACTCACTTGAGGGTCTCGATTTCAGAGAAAAAAAACAATCACCTGTTGCTTTTAGTGGGTTTTAGTTCCTTGATATGTACGTTGGAATTGATCGATCAATCATCGATCAAACAATCGATTTTTCAACAAACTCAACACTTGAATTATTTTGTTTCTTCAAGTGATTACCTCAAAAAGAATTTTTTTATTTTGGGTTTTATTGTTTTCCCATCCTTTCAAAATAAAAAAAAACGTTTGAATTTTATTTTTTCTAATTTGGGAAAGGAAAGATTGTGGAAAATTTCAACGGGGCATATTTCACGTTTTGTTTTTATTCGTTTTTTCCCTTTCTTTTCGTGTTTTTATCAGTATGATCGATCGAGTGTTTTTTCTTTTCTTATTTTTTTCGTTGATTTTTAACAAAGATTTATTAGGCCAAAAAGAAAGAAAGAAACAACCACCACCACCACCATCACATCAACACACAATGGTTTAATCATTTTAGTTATTAAATAGATAGGAGTTTTACTAACCATTCAATAGGTAGTTGGTTGTCTTGAATTGAGATTCATTCAAAATGGTCATAGGAATAACAAAAGCAAACAATTCAAACAAACAGGAAATTTGTTCAATATTCAATTGTGTGTGTATATACCTGACAAATACTGATAGTTTTGCTGTGATACTGTGATGATAGATTTTATGCCTTTTGTTTTTTCATTCAAGCTCAGGATTTTTATGTTTCCCGGAGATTTTTGATATCAGTTAGAGAGTCGGTGGGAAATCACCTTGAGAGTATTGGTCATAGTGTGTGAGTTTTCATCAGTACATAGTTGCTGGGGTAAGGAGGGGAAATCAATCTATGAGGCTGTGAGGTTACACCTGTTGAGGTGGTTGGGACATGTGTTACGCTTTCATGACTAGCTATCGCCTTCCTCGATGGAAAAGAGTTAGCCAGTTGTGGTCAAACCGAAATATGGCCTCCTCAGTCAATAAAATCTACAGCAGTTAGTTTAAGCCAGCCAGACAGTCACTTCGGAAGGTGTAGACTTCCTGATTGACTGGTTCGGGTCCTCGAGACGGTGAAAACCAATGAGGCTGGAGGCAATCGGTGATATGGCTCAAACTCATCGTTCTCAATGGCTGTCTCAGATGCATCCACTCTTTGTAACTTATAATTTCCAATGAAACTACATTGTTCGTCGTTATTACTATTCCTTTTGTCGCATATTCCTGTCAACTGTCTCTATTTTGCATTTCTTTTACTTCCTTCTCTTCGTTTGTGTGCTACAAGGAGAGAGTGTGGGGAATTGAACTGGTGCATATTGGTACAAAGTTCTATGTTGAAAACAGACAGACAGACACATGGGTTTGAACCCACTGCTTTCTGATAGCAGGGCAACTTCGTGGACAATTTTAACATCCACTGGGACCCTATTCAATGATCCATGAATTCTAACTGCTCCCAATTCGTGATTTTATTGCCACCATTAGGCAACGTCACCAGCGAGTATTTGTCTTCACTTCCAACCGAATGGGTCACTATTTCTCACTGGAACTCCAGGCCATTTCTTCTCTTGTAGCTGGTCACTGGCGAGTATCAGATTAAGTTTCAAGAGTTAGTTTATAAGGATTTTATTTATCTCAAGTTTGATCGCGAGCTGACAAAAGTTTGTAAAGTTTGAAATTCATGAGCTATGCCTGCTGAATGGTTATGTATGAGCTCACCTTGTAAGCAGAACGTCCTGGGTTCGACATTCGTTGATACTGTACAGATGAGGAGTCCTTAATTAGGTTGACGAACCAGCTATCCAGTACGCCCTGGTTTTTCTAGTAGTTTTGTAACTAACTCTTGGGAAAAGCTCTTGACTTTATTAGAATCTTACTAAAATGTCAATCTGGCTTTATTTAGCGGGTGCTGAAAGAGTATGTCACACTAATCAGCACAAGTTACTTGAACTCACACAATCGTTTAAAGACGGCTTATGGAGACTTGTCATCTCTAGAGGTGATAACCAGTGGTATTTGCTAGGATGCCCAATATCCCGTCGGTGGCACAGCGGTTAGGAGTCTCGCCGACCATGCATATGTCCGGGGCTCGAGCCCACGCCGACGCACACCTGATATCTATGGTCGGCCTGCGAAACTTCGGCTACCGATATCCACGCTGAAAATTCCATACTTGTACCAAAAATACGTATGGAATCGAGCTGTAATCAAAAGTAAAAGTCAAAAGTTTAAAATAGAAATTTCATTTATAAATGGAATTGATTCTGATTAACTTTGGTGACTTAACATTTAAATCATGTTACTAGGGTACCTACAGTCATATCGATTTAGAGTATGCAGACAATATTGTCCTCCTAGGTGAAGACGCTAATAAAGTGCATAGTCTTAAGAACACCCTATCTTCGTATAGTTTGGCAAGCCATTCACC